AATTTTCTCAGGATTCTACAGCTTGCCACTTAGACAAGTCTTCCGCACGCAAATAGTACCTCTGACTGTACCGACGGAAGTTGGTTATTGTCACCTACGAACATGTCAGTTAGCCCAAGTCAACAAATAAGCGCTTTCGTCAGACAGTAAAACGTCAATATCCGCTTTTCGGCCGCAGCCTAGGAGCCAACGATCCAAACTGGAAAAATTGTAACCGAAAACTCTTCTAAATGCCATGCAATCGACACCTATTGTGAAATGATTCAGCTGATCCTACCTCTCCCTACCACAAAAAGCCCTCGGCCTGTTATACGAGGACAGAACCGGACAACCAACCTCAGCTTGACTTACAAAATATCTCATCGCGATATCGCTTTCGAGGATACAAACGTACTTATATCCGTAGATTGCTTTATTTCGGTCGCTCGCATAATTTATCAATCAGCGGACCCGCAACAATTTCTTAGATGAATGACCAGACATTTTTTAGATGAAATTCTCAGAATATATCTTCGCATTTAGTCGCGGAAAATTTCATCTGGCGTAACCGGAAGCGTGGTGGCCGGTTTGCACGGGCCATCGTATTTTGAAGCAAGTACCCGAGGAATAAAATGCGACCTAATGGTGAATATGAACAAATTGCACCCCATCGGTCAACCAAAGAAACCGAAATCGGCCACGGAATGGTCTGCTGTGCAATTAAGACATTCCATTTAATAGTGCTGATGTTGTGTGAACTTATTTGAAGGTGGCTTACTAACTCATTTGTCTATTTTCAGATAACGGAAACATGGTCATTTGCGTTCAAGCCCGCGACGAAAACGAATCTGCTGGACAATTTTAAAATAAAGTCAAACGATAAAATCCTGTGGATTTTCAATGGCGCATCTTTTAAGATCACAAACGAAGACATAACTAGTATAGGCAAACAAATTTGAAGTATTACATAAAATATTAAACTACAACGGTGCACAGGCGAGTCTTTGGGTCGTTTTTACGCTGTGGCAACTGCGGCGCTACATAAACAGTTCAAAAATGCCATAGCTTCTTGACTCCCTTGATTATGCCCACGTCGTAATAGTTGAAGTAACAGAAGCCGGCAAAGCCAGCGGCGCAGAAGACTTTCCAGATCATCTGTAGGACAGGCTGGAGGGTGGGTCCGTACCTCCGTTCCATGATATAGTCGCGGATCACGCCATTGAAACCCCTAAAAATGAATAAAGCCGGAGTAACTATGCGACAAGAAAATGCAAAAGTAGCCGTCCTTTAAATCCGACGTTGCACCATCTGGTCAATTAACGGGCCCAGGCGACCGCCTGTGTATATAGGATAAAAAGGCAAATATATGCAAAAAATGAATTTAATATGAATACACACGAGAAATTGAAAATTCTAGAGTACGTAAGTGTAAATTTTCTCCTGCCCTCATTATACAGCGGAGTTCGGATCGCCGACGCACATTAAACGTCATCTAAAGCAACAATGACGACTTAACAACTGAGTAGGTAAGAAGGCTGTTCGTTCACCGGAACCCTTAGTACAGGAGTCTATCGTCAGAGATAAAAGTTGCGGCAGTGTGGAGTGGGAATCAAGCAAAGATTAGAAAAGGAATTTTTGCGGCGACTACACAGGACTATACAGATCGGCGCCAAACCGATTACCTAATTTTCACTAGAAGTCAAGGCTCCAATCAATTTGCAGCTTGTATTACTTATGGCGTGGGCTATTTTGACGGCTACAAATATGAACTTACGACGTTTTGTGGGTGTATACAGCCGCATGCGATAATGTATCACCCCGTTACACAGCCGGTTTACGTTAGTGAGCGCGAGATCCGATTGTGCGTTTAATCTGGTAGGAACGGGACGCGATACATTACACGTGACTGTTCGCAGAGATTGGACAGCTACTTTATTTTCATGACCTTACTGCGCATAGTATATTTGGACCACTATGCAATCGCGACACTTAGTCTCATAGCACTGCACCCCGCAGCCTCTGACACGTCCTCGATATGTAACGACGAATGTCATACCATAAGTGCTGTTTCTGGTTATATCCCCAGGGAGGAAGGCGCGGGCATCAGGTAATTAATACCTTTGGATAGTCATTACACATAAGCTGGACGCGTGAACACAGCATCTCGCATGCTTGTTATTCGAGGTTATTGCAACAAGTCTGTATCCGTTTGAATAGGGTGTGCTGGTGAGCTACTGGATGCTTGCTATAAAAACTGAGAAGCCGTGCGGTGTTCATCGCTTTCCTGTGGACCACTGTTTCTATTTCGCATTGGGACTTAGTCTGTTGCATATTTTGTCATTGATCACGTGTCCCTGTACGAGTTCGAAAGCTTAAGTAGATAAGGAAATGATCCTCCGAACACACAGTATTCTTGTCTACACCTGAAACGCACGTCGGGCGACATGCAGTCTAAAAAACGAGAAGAATTTGCCAAATGCAAGTTGCTTAATACAGAAAACTGGGAACAATAATACAGAAAAGAAACTTACCAGTACGCATGCAGAGAAACTGCCGCTGCGACAATGTACTCCGACCCATAAGGTTCCAACATTAGGGCGATCGGGTACATAGGGAGCATTGAGATGGCAACAACCCTCTCAATCGTCCAGTGAGTCGACGGTAGCATCATTCCAGTCACATTAGGCTGTGGGGCTACATGAATACAAATGTTAGGTTGGTGACTAGGGGCCGCGAACGTGCATTACAAAATCTAAATTATAAAAGTTCGCCGATGAAACTGGAGGCTAATTCTCTGGGCGGCTTACTGAATGATGCAAAAAATAACACACGGCACCAATTTCCAGGACTAGGCATTTTTCATTAGGCAAAAGCAT